CCACCTGGGACCTACAGCACCTCTGGGCACCAGGCCCTGGGCTTGGGAAGCATCCCTCTCCATTGCCTTGCCAGGGATCAGCCTGCACAGCAGGACAATATATATGTGCTCTGACAATATATATGTGCTAGTACTAAACTGGGCATGGGGTGCCCAGACCCCTTTCTGCAGGCTCAATCTGTTTTGTGCATGTTTTGGGGTAGACTGAGACTGTGAAAAGCTTCATGGGCAGAGGAAGGGTCTTACATACTCTGACCTCGAGATGTGCCCCCGGATGTCGCAGAGGAGACCCAGCTTCTCCTCCTGTGACAGCACGTATGGCACTTCTGACTCACTGCAAAACCCACAGCATGTTTCTCCACAGAGATCAGCCATGCCTCTCCTCTTTTTGTTACAGCTTCTTCCATCCCCCCATCATCGACCTACGTGACCACCACGTCCTCTAATCTCATTCTCTCTGTACCAGGCCACACACAGACAATTTCCCAGGAGGAAATTTTGCAATCAACATCAAATCCCTCCACCCCTCAACCGTGAGTAGCAGCTCCTGCCTACAGCAGCCTCTTTCCTCCATGAGCTCTCTGGTGCAGCTGGAGCCCTGCAACCATAGAATACTTCACACCTCCCTTAAGGATCCAGACCTCCTGGTTTTGCCTTGAGAGACCACTCCACATGGGAAAATTCTTCTCTGTGAGGGTGGTGAGGTCCTGGCACAGGTTGCCCAGAGATGTTGTGGATGCCCCATCCCTGTTCAGGGCCAGGCTGGATGGGGCTCAGAGCAGCCTGGCCTAGTGGAAGGTGTCCCTTCCAGTGACAGAGGGTTGGAACTGGATAATCTTTACGGCCCCCTCTGACCCAAATAATTCTCTAATTCTATGACAGTAATTGCAGTGCCTCTAGTCACATGGCAGAAGTGGTTTCTGCCTGCAATACCGACCCCATTTCCTTCCCCAAAACTCAGTGAGACTGTTCGTGGGAAGCCAAGTGCTGCCCAGTGTCCTGTTCTTTGTAGTTACACACAGTCTGGTAGACATAGTTGAAAAAACATGAAACCAGCGGGTTAGATCTTCCCCTCTTCTCTCCTGCCTGTGGTTGGTGATGCCAGCAGCAGACAAAGCTGAGGCTCTCCACCAGCACACTCAAGGGTGTGCTGGCTCACCAACTTCCTGCTTGCCCGTTACAAACAAAGTTAACACAGAGTGGAGTTAAACCAGAGCAAATGCAGGAACCCATCCTTAAATCACTGAAGACACAGTGGCTCTCAGACCCAAGCATCCTTTTGCTTCTGCAGTTTTTGTTGCTCTGCTCCATGCCCAGCTGGCAGCCTGATGATCCCATGCCTGCTGTGATGGGGAAGCCCTGCCACTCTACTGCCACAGCCCCTTTGTGTCCCCCACAGCTGCTTCCTGCAACCCTGCTCCATGCTGGTTCATCCTGAGAAGCATGACAACATAAATTGTCTTCTTCATTCTTTTTTTCTTGCAGCTTGCGCATGGTTGAGCACATCCTCATTCCAGCCAGCATTGTGGTCCTTTTTTTGCTTGCAGTGGCTGCTGGTGTTCTAGTAATACTCTCCAGAAGGAAGAAGGGTGAGTGAAATTGTCAGTGACACACACGTCCTGTTTCTGTAACAGAGCCTGCTCTGCTTCCTTTATTTTTCCCCTCTGTTTCTTTTTCCTCCCCCATTCCCTTCCTGATCCATCCAGTTCCTCAGTGCATCATTGAGACCTCCACCAGGAGGTTTCCTTCCCTCAAGGGAGCAGTGGGTCCATGCCATGGGTGCTGTCCCATGGGTGTTGTCCCCTGGGAGCAGGGGATGACAGCCCTTGGGGTGGGTGCTGCTGGGCACAGATTCTGCTTGAGTTTCTTTGGGCACCATCACTTGCATGGGCCAGGCTCACACTAGGCTCAATTCCAAGTTTAAGGCCAGTGTGAAGGCTGGGGAGGGACAGGAGAGGACATTGCCAGCTGGCAGGTGGGGTCTGGCTTTATTTGAAGAGGGGCTCCAGTTTAGATGGCTCATGGAGTGTCAGGCTCCTGTCCTGCTTTATGGCAAGATTTGCAGTGGCAGTGCATTTTCTCAACACGTTTCTTTTCCTCTGTTTTCACTCATGTCCAGCCACATCCATGCTTCATCCAGCTCTTTCTGGAGCAGCCATAGAGATGGACAGGACTTGCAGCATGTCACCTACAGTAAGGAAAACCTCATGAGTTGTTGGGATTCTGTGCCCCAAGTTCACATGAAGAGGGGAAACTGCACCCTGAGCCGCCAGGGCTGCTGCTTTCAGCCAGGTTCATGGCACTGGAGGCTGGGAGGGATCCTTTGGGCTCTGCTTGCCAACAGAAAGACACAACCAGGGACTTTCTGTGACCATCACAGAGTATTCCTGGGAAAGGAACTTAGGATTGATCTGAGAGGTTTCTCTCCAAGCCTCTCCAAGCATGGGAGCTACTTCTCTGGGGCAAACAGCCTTGGGAACCTGCAGCAAATCACACCTGAAGTGCTGCAGGGTAGCTGATCCTTGCTTACTGCTTGGAAAGTATTTTCTGATATTTTGCTGCCAGCTCTTGAAGAGGGGCTGGTGTCACAGAATTCCCCTGGGGAATGTTGAGCCAGGCCTTGCTTCAATTTTTATTTCCACCCAGAGCCCCTGCAGCCATCTCAGCACCCAGCACTCAGGACAGGCAGCAGGGTGGGAGATATTCCCACCCCTGTGGATGCAGGCAGGGAGTGGCAGCAGGGTGAGAGCTCATCCTTCTCCAGCAGGGAGCAGAAGCCTTGAACTATGCAGACCTTACCCACGGCCCGGCTGAGAGCCAGTACAGCAATGCTGAGGATTTGCACCGCCTGGAAAGCCTCCCAGTGGAGTACACAGAGGTCAGGCAGAGTGCTCAGGTAGGAGAATGCCAGGCACTGCCAAGCTGCAGGCGGTGGGAGGAAAGCTGGAGCGGGTGGGTGGCAGAATGAGCAGCAGGATGGGCTGGGTGGGGAAGGAGGGGATTGCAAAGGGAAATGCCAAACCGGGGTCCAAGTGACCCTGGCTAGTGTGGGTTCCCTCTCTGGTCCCTGTGGCTGCTCCTGGGTGCTTAAAACATCACAGAGAAGTTCCAGCAGACAGGGTTTGCCTGGAGCAGCCCCTCAGAGGATGTTTTTGTTTATCTCCCTTCTTTCCCAGCTTTCGGAAGAGGAAAAAGAGATGTTATATGCCAAAGTGCAGAAGCCCAAGCCACAGCAGGAGCAGATCTACACCAACATGCCATCAGCTCCACGGCCCAGTGGAGAGCTCTACGGCACAGTGTGGGGTAGATGAGCAAGCACCCAGCCCCATGGGCTGCTCCTGCTGCTGGCAGCACCAGCGAGATTTGCACAGAGGACATGGGGTTGATGTTCTGCTCAGGTAGGAGCCAGCTCGATAGCAGAGCTGCTGCTCTCCAAGGTTTGGATGTTTCTTTGAGGCAACATCAGAGAGGATGAGGTTGTGTGGAGGCACAGAGAGGGTTGAAGATAAAGTCATGCCTTTGCAAATGCAATTTGGAGTCCTCATCTGTACAGCAGTGGTGCTGGGAATAAAGCTCTCCCCTTTGTAGTGGGGTAGGCCAGGCCAGAGACCTACCAGGCAGGGTGGGAGAGGTGGGCAGGGGAGGTGGGGCTGGACTGGTGGGTGAGCTGCTCCCTTTGCTCACCACTCAGCCCACTTGCTCCTTTGGCTGCGTTGCTCATGGGGCTGAGGCTCCCAAACCCACTGCTCACCTCTGACATTTTCCATGCTGATGCCAGCTGTCAGCTCCTGGGAGCCAGGGCAGTGGGAAATGTTATATCCAGGTGCATTTGGTGGGGTGCTCATGTGGAGGGTGAGGGGTATCAGGGTCTTGGTGTAGAAATGGCATCTCCCCCATGCCCTGGTGCCACAGGCCCCCAGGTAATTTGCTCCTGCTCCTTCTCTCCCAGCACCCCCGAGGACCCCCAGCCTGGGAGCACACAGGTGGGCTGCAACCATCACCTTGCCCTTCTCTGTTTTGCTGATAACCTTTTTTCTGGCACCCACTAAATACTTTCTGTGTGAATTGTTGCTGCTTTATCAGTGACACCAAGAATCTGATAGCGTTGGCCGTGGTGTGTGACTGTGTTTGTACAGCAGGTTCCCACCTGCTAAAGGCTTTGTTGCAGTGTCACCCTGAAAGCAGGTCCAGCCCCTTGCTGGTGCCCAGCAGTGTGAGAACTCACATCTTTAAGGACAAGGGCTCCTCCAGCACAAACCCACCAGCAGCTACTGCAGCATCCCTCCCCACTGGAACAGTCCCTGTAGTCCTGCCCCTGGCATGCTGGTGCCCTCCCCCATGAGTGCTCACTCTTCTCCAGCCCAGTGCCAGGCAATTTATCCATCCACTGCCACAAAAAACAGGCCATAGGGATGGGTGTCCCTTTGTGATGGGCTGGGAGCAGAAACCCTGAGCTCTTACACACACATGGTTCCATGCAAGTGTTTTTGCACAAAGAGGTGAATTCTCCCTTGCCATGAGAATTTGGGCACTGTAGCTTTTTGCAACCCATCTGGTTTCAGGGCAGGGATGCTGATTTATACCACAGCCAGGAGGAGGCTGAAGTGGGAGCTTCTCACTCTCTACAAATACCTGAAAGGAGGTTGTAGTCAGGTGTGGGTTGATCTCTTCACTCAGGTAACAAGCAACAGGACAAGAGGAAACAGGGTGCCACAAGGGGAAACACCTCCACAAGTTGTGCCAGTGGAGGTTTAGATTGGATATTAGTGAAAATTTCTTCCAGGGCTGTGAAGGAAATGGTAGAGTCACAATCCCTGGAGGAGTCTAAAAGACACGTGGATGTAGCATTTGGGGACATGGTCTAGTGGTGGCCTTGGTGGTGCTGGGTTAGTGGATGATCTTGATGTTCTTAGGAGTCCTTTGCAGCCTAAAGAATTCTAGGTAGGGAGCCTTTTCCTGCTGGTGTGCAGGTGCTGATGCAATCTTGTTGCTCTCAGCTCTTGAGGCATGGACTAAATTGCTCCTGTCAAAGGGGAAGTCCTCCTAGAGCTCAACAGGCTGCTCAGAGCCCTTCCTCAGCCTGGGGAGGCCCCTGTTATCAAAAGTTCTTCCTCTTAAAGCCCTCAGGGGCCCTGAGGCTGCAATGTTCCCTGGGTTTTATCAGCACAATCTGCCCACAAAGCTCCCAGGAGCTGCTATTGCCACCCAGCCACTGCTTCCTATTTCTGCTGCTGAGATACTTCCACCGCCAGGGGCTTTCACAGGGGAAAGGCTGAGAGAGCTGGGGGTGCTCAGCCTGGGGAAGAGAGGGCTCCAAGGAGACCTCAGAGCCCCTAAAGGCCCCTCAGTGCCTAAAGGGGCCCAGGAGAGCCGGAGGGTGACTGAGAACAAGGGCCCAGAGTGCCAGGACAAGGGGAATGGCTTCACAGTCAGAGGCAGGGTTAGATGGGCTATTGAGAAGGAATTGTGCCCTGGGAGGGTGGGCAGGCCCTGGCACACGGTGTCCAGAAAATCTGTGGCTGCCCCTGGATCCCTGGAAGTGTCCGAGGGCAGGTTGGACAGGGCTTGGAGGAACCTGGGGTAGGGAAGGTGTCCCTGCCATGGCAGGGGGGTGACACCAGTGGCACAGGCACACACAGCAGGGCACAGGGGGCCACGCACAGCCACGTGTGCACCCAGGGCACACTCACAGTCCCACACACATTCACTCACACTCATTCACACTCACATTGCCTCACATTCATTCACACACACATTCCTTCGCAGTCACACGTTCACTTACATGCTCACACTCAAATTCATTTGCACACTCACATTCACACATTCATTCACTCCTTTACTAACACACATTCATTCACCTCACATTAATTAGCTCACACTCACATTCATTCACTCTCACATTAATTAGCTCACACTCACATTAATTAGCTCACACATTAATTAGCTCACACTTGCACTCATTCATTCTCACATTTACATTAATTAGCTCACTCTCACACTAGTTGGCTCACATTCATTTACATTTACTTACATGCTCATATTAATTAGCTCACATATTAATTAGCTCACACTCACATTCATTCACACTCACATTAATTAGCTCACACTCACATTAATTAGCTGACACACATTCATTCACTCTCACATTAATTAGCTCACACTCACATTAATTAGCTCACACTCACATTCATTCATTCTCACATTTACATTAATTAGCTCACTCTCACACTAGTTGGCTCACATTCATTCACTCTCACATTTACTTAAATTAATTAGCTGCTCACATACTAATTAGCTCATATTCATTCTCTCTCACATTTACTTACATGCTCCCATTAATTAGCTCACACATTAATTAGGTCACACTCACATTCATTCACTCTCACTTTTACTCACACTAATTAGCTCACACTCACATTCATTCACTCTCACATTTACTTACATTAATTAGCTGTTCACACTAATTAGCTCACATTCATTCACTCTCACATTTACTCACATTAATTAGCTGTTCACACACTAATTAGCTCACATTCATTCACTCTCACGTTTACTCACATTAATTAGTAGTTCACACACTAATTAGCTCATTCATTCACTCTCACATTTGCTCACATTAATTAGCTGCTCACACACTAATTAGCTCACACTCACAGTCATTCACTCTCACATTTNCAGCCCTGCCACCTCTGCCTGGTGCACCCAATGCCCATCTCCAGCTTAGCAATAGCCAGGCAAGGGTGTCCTTCCACAACTCTGCCCCCACTCAGCAGCTGCAGGGACTGGGGACACAGGGGGAGGCTTGGAGGGACCTGATCAGAGCATGGGGCTCCTGAGCCACAGAGGGGCTGTGCTGGCAGGAGAAGTGGGTACCCCTGTCCAGCTGCACTGCCATAAGTTGGGGTTACCCATTTCATTGCCCTGGGCAGGACAGAGTGGCCGTGCAGGAGCACTGCCCAGCCTGGGGGATTGTCTGGCCTTCAGGTGGTCCCTGTGTTGTGCTGAGCTACTGTGAGAGTCTGTCCAAAATATCTTTCATTTTTGCCTCACAATTGTCATGAAGACCACCGAAAAGTTAAAATCTGTTGAGCCAGTGGGGAGGGAATGTCATGTGCCTATTAGCTCAGTGTGTTCACAGGTGTTTTTTGCAGAAGATGCCATGCTGAACTTGAAGGGGGCATTCTGCCATTTCTGAACAATGGATCTGGACTTTCTCCCTACCTCCTGGCCTGGCTGGTCTGAGCTCTGGGGTGGTTCCCCCCTCCAAGAGAAGACCCCCTCTCGCCTGCCTTTAACCACCGTGACAAACAAACAGAGATGTGAGCCTCTTCATCAAGGAACCAAGACAAACAATCCCCATGCACGACAACCCCCATCACACCTTATTCCAGAGACTGGGACTGAACACCCCCCCAGCTCGGGGGAGGTGTGCACAAAGGGAGGAAAGCTGCCCAGAATAAACGCACCTGCAAGCATTGGGCCATGAAAACAACGACTCTGTGTACTCCCCCATTTTTCTGTTCTTTCCCCTCCTTGGAGACCTTTGTATCGGCTCCCCTTCTCCCCAACGAAAAAGAGTATAATTTGGGATGCAATTCAGCCGTGCCTTTGAGTTCTCCCTGGATGTGCCCCAGTGAGCTTCAACGGCTGGACCCCGAAGGAGGAAAGCGACGCCACGTCTCGGTAGCTATACCCCCCACCCCGTCCTCCTTTCCTCCCTCTTCCCTTATCTTATCCTTTTCTTCCACAGATCCTCTCACCAACGCACATCAGTTGTGGTTACTTCAATAAAACTGCAATTTGTTGAATTGTTACTGCAAATCCCCTGTGCCTTGCTGGTGATTTTTGCACCAAAAGTCATCGTGTCACCCATCCACTAGGACGGACCGGCTGCCTCTCCCCCTGGGTGCCCTGCCTGGCCACAGGGGCTGGGCAGTGTGGCACTGAGAGGCAGGCTGTGTCCCCACATGGGGGCCAGGCTGGAGGAAAAAAGCAGAGACCCCGGGGCATGGCACAGGGGACAGTGCACAGCAAGCAATCTCAGTGACCAGGAGAAGCTGAAACTCTAGGAAACAGGAAACGCCATGGTCGTGCTGGATCTCTCACAGCAAGGGAGGTGGTACCAGAGGCAAAAGAGGAAGCANGCAGGGTCACAGCACCTGAGGAGGGGAGCTGGTGACCCAGGGGGTTTGTTTTGGGTCTGGCATAAAGCGAGGAGTATGAGGGACTTGATGGACATCTTGCACTTGTGGTTTGGAGGATGTTGTGGGGAACTGGTCAGGGACACCCAAATCAAAAACCATGGAGTTCAGAGAGCTGGCGGGTTTGTGTCAGTGCCTGTGTAGCTGTTCTGGTGAGAGGTGTTCCTGTGAAGTGGGAGAGTACAAGGACCTTTTGGAGGTGCTGATGTCTTTATACCAGAGCACCCTGCTAAGGCCAAATGCATCACTTCTTTCTTGTGAGTGTGGGGAAACTGAGGCATGGTCTGGTGAAGGAGTTTGCCCAAGGTCAGACACTGAGAAGGTATCAAAGAGGACCCAGGCTGATGAACCATTGCTGCCACCTTCAAACAAAGCACCCACCTGTGGGTTGTTAATTTGGATTTGTTTATTTGTTGGGAGCTGCCCAGACTGTGTCCAGGTCTGCTATGTCTGTGTGGACCAGTGGCTGGAGCCTCCTGTTGCCTCCCTAGTGTGGAGGGTGATCCCATGGTCAGCAGGTCTAGGAGGCTTTCCTTGAGAGCAAAGAGGTGAGAAGGGGAACAGGCAGCCCCGTGCTGTGGGGAAGGTCTCTGGAGTGACACCACTCATTCAGCAGGTGAATTCCCAGCCTCAGGGCTCCTCCTGGCCCACAGGAAATGGCCATGAGCACCCTCATGTGCTGCCATATGCCCATCACTGACACAGAACCAGGGAGTGAGTGTGGCAAGGAGAGGATCGTGATCTGGAGGCACTGGAAGCATGAGAGCGGACTGATCTGGCACCAAGGAGTGCCCAACTGCTCCTTTGCCTGTTCTGTAACCTTGATCAAATTACTTCACCCATCCTGGCTTGTCCTTCCCTCTGTACCATCCTGCACTGTTTGTCTGCTGTTCTCTGCTCCTGCCCTTCACAGCCTCCTGGCTTGGCTCATCCTGCCTTGCTTGGTTTCCCCATGTCTCATCCCTGAGCTGGGCAGCTGAACAGGTTTGGCCATGGGTCCCCTTTCCTGGAGAGGAGTTGGTTCACCACCAGCAGTCCTGGGAGTTGAAAGCTTCTTTGGAGAAGACAAGAACCATCCTTAACTTCACAGACAGCCTGAACCCATTAGCAAACTGGGAAAAGTCCAATTAACCTCAATTCTTATAAAATGCACAGCTCTTGGTCTCTGTGCCGTCCTGCTGTCTGATTTTGGCCAGACCTAGAGGAGGCACCATTTCCCTAAGGGCATTTCTGGTAAAGCCAGAGGAGCAGTCCCAGGAGAGTCTGACCTTGCAGGCCTGAAAGGATTCATGGCAGTTTGGGATTTCTTAATTGCCACAGTAAATGGCTCCTTCCCACTAATGGGCACAGCTCATCCCCAGCATGAATGGGCTGTGGAGACAGAAAGAGACACTCCAGTCCTGGAAGTGCTGTGGAGCTGGCTGTGCCTCTTGGATCCATCAGTTCTCTTCCCAAGCCCTGTGCTGGGGTCCTGCAAGGCACCCTCTGCTTACCAAGCAGATTCTTTATGGAGTGCAGACCAGGAGTATTTGGGTCTGTGTCCATCTGCCTATCAGCACTGTGTTTCCTCCTGGAAAGCAAATTAATCTTGTTCCACCAGGATCAAACAACACAATTCCTATCCAAACTGATGGATGAGAGAGGAAATTCCCACTCCTGCTGTGGTCAGCATGAGTGTCTCCCCACACGAGTGTGAGCCTGAGAGGCCAGAGCTATCCTGCCTCTGTCATTGTGACACCCACAGCTCCTGGATGAGCACAGAAGCTTCCTGAAGCTCTCAGTCCGTGGTGGAGCTGGCACCAGTAAAACTCAAACCACAGAGTTTCCTTGTGGGTGGAGAAGTGGATCTGTCACTGCAGTGTTTTAGCCACTGGGTCTCCTGTCTTTGTCTGTCCAGGCAGGAGGTGGCACCTCTCTGGGGCTGGTGTGTTGGTGTCCTCTGTGTGCTGTGGCCACAAGAGAAGCTTCCTATGAAGTCTCTTTTCTTCTTGAGAAGAGATTCCTTGATAGTTACTTTTCCTGACAAAGCGTTTGGTTTTAGGGGACTTACTCCAGCCATTTTAACTCGGGATTCCTCTGATGACTTTGGAACATTTTGGTGCTGCTTTTGTCTGATGAGTGTGTGCAGAAACCAGTCAGACAGGCAGAGAGGGAATCCTGCAGAAACCAGGGGCTGCTAGCTGTACTGGGACCCGTGCAGGGGGTGGGGTGCAGGCAGGTACATGCCCCATGGCTCTGTTTCACTCTGGGGCAGCAGTGTCACATTGGAGGAGGCAGAACAGGACAAGCCTCTCCAGTAACAGGCAACAGGACAAGAGGAAATGGTGTCAAGTTATAGCAGGGCGGTTTAGGTTGGATATTAGTGAAAACTCACCAAAAGGGCTGTGAAGACCTAGAACAGGCTGGATGAGGAAGTGGTGGAGTCACAGACTGGAGGTATCTAAAAGATGGGTAGATGTGGCACTTGGGGACATGTTTTAGTGGTGGCTTTGACTGGGGTTTCATACTTGGGTGATCTTAGTGAGTCTTTGTAACCTAAATGAGTCTGTGATTCTGAGTGAGCTCTGGCTGGCACCTGGAGTCATCTGTGTGTCAGAAGGAGGGGATGGGCACCCTCACTGGCTGTCCCACACAGGTCTTAAATACAGCAGAACAATGTGGCCGGAGCCATTCCCTGCCAGGCTGGGCTGGAGGGATCACTGTGCTGTGGTGCAATAATTAGAAACCCTCGAATTCCTTGGCTGGCAGCTCTGGAAGGGCTGGCAATGCTTCTAACAACTTCCCTACTGGGAGAGGCAGCCAGGCATGGTCCTGAGCTGGGAACAGGGCTCCTTCCAGGGGGATGAGCAGGACTGTAACCACGGGTGGGCCTTGAATAGGGGGTGTCCCCACAGTCAGGTGTGTTGGGGAGTGCAGGATGTGAGTGGGATCAGCAAGTCTTTTCCTGTAGGAGCATGGCAGATACTCTCTCCTCACTTTTGGCCTTCCAGCTGCCCTCTCCTGTGATGCTCTGTGGGGAAAACAGGTTTATAGCTCTGGAGCAGATGGTCCTGCATGGTGACTAATGAAGGGTCACTGCCTGTGACACCTGTCTGGGTGGAGGCAGGCTTGGCAGATCCCTGCTGAACCAACCCTTTGGGATTTAAGCAGTGGTTTGGCCATGGCTGTGCCAGCACACCATGGGTAGTCTGGGGACTCTGAAATGGGCAGATCACACCAGATGCTTTCCAGCCTTTTCACTCCGTGCTTTCTCCTGGCTGTGACCTTCCCAGCAGCTGCACCCTCAGGGGAGTCTTGTGCCAGGGGCTGCTTCAGTTCTGCTGTCCTTGTGAGGCATCTGTCCATCCTTGTGAGCTGCTGCTGCTGCTCAGGAACACCCCTGGTTGTTCCTTACAGCTCCCCGTGGTGCCTGGCACAGCTGCTGGGCAGAGTTTGGGGGTTGTGTGGAGCAGCCCTGGGAGGCTGGGCTGGAGCAGGCAGCTGCCTGTCTGTCATCCAGGAGTGCCTGCAGAGGCCGGAGCACATGGCCCTGACATCCCAGGTACACTCACTGGGAAAGTTCTTTCCCATGAGAGCAGCACCCAAACCTCCCAGCTCCCTGCTCTCCCCAAGGCTGACTGTCTCTGCTGTTCAGCCAGCCTGGCAGAGGTAACAAAGCGTAATTAAGTGCTCCCTTTACACATCTGCTGGGGTCCACAGGAGGTTTGTGACTGGATTTCTAGGGAAGGTGGTGATGGCAGTGCCTGCCCCAGCCCAGCATGGGGAGCCAGGATCCAGGGAGGGGTGCATGGGCAGGGCCTTGGTCTATTCCTGTCCAGTGCTTCCAGCCCAGAGAGCACAGCTGTGGCTGTCTGTGACTCTGGCTGTGCTGGGCTTGGGTTCACAGCATGGTCATGGCAGGGAAGAGTTGGTCCAATAATCTCACAATGAAATGACCATCACCAGCAAGTACAGCCCAGTGCTCATGTCCAGCATCAGGGATGTCCCTGCAGGTGGGCAGACCTCAGAGGGTGGCTGGTGCAGACACAACCCACTGTGTCCATTTAGTCTGCAGCCCAACCACAGAGGGTGAGACTGGCTATCCTCATGATGGGGGTGTGGGCAGGGGCTGCTATTGGGTCTTAGCCTGGGGTTTTGGGTGATGAAGGGGCTGTGTAATGTCCTGTGCCGCACAGTGGGTGCTCCTGGAGCATCTGTCATGCTGCAGCATTGAGCTCTTTGGGGACTGGGAAGGGATGCTCTGAGGAGGATGCTGACAGATCTAGGGAGCAGCAGGCCCGAGTTAATGCTGTCTGTCCTCTCTTGTGCATCCACATGCACCACGCCAGGAGCGGCAGAAGAAGGCTGGCTTTCCCGAGAGCAGCGACGGCGCCAAGGACTCGGACAGCTCTGCCGGGCGCCGCAGCAGCGCCGGCCGCAAGCACGGCCGCTGGCGGGGCCGGCCGGACAGCCCCGGCGCCGTGGTGTCCAAGGTGGTGAGAGCCGTCACGGCCAGGCACAAACCAGGGTGGCGGCTGCCGGCCATGCTGGATTCCTCCAGCCACAGGAACCTGTCCGAGCTGCGTGGGGAGGCCCAGCTGGCCATCTTCCAGCAGGGCGACACGGGCAGCGTGGAGGGGGCTCCCCAGCCCACTGACAACAGCTTCACCCCCAAGTGCGAAATCACGGGCAAGGACGCCCTGTCGGCGCTGGCCCGGGCCAGCAGCAAGCAGTGCCAACAGGAGATTGCCAACGTGGTGTGTCTGCACCGGGCTGGCAGCCTCATGCCCCAGTCCGTGCCTCGCCACTGCCAGCTCTCAGGTGAGTCCTACTGGGGTTCTCCTGGTCACCCTGGGCATTGGGAATATCCCTGGGAGGCTGGTAGGCCACCTTCTGTATGTCACCAAGGTGTCCCACCTGGCAAACAGCAGCTTCAATCTGTCACTGATTCCCAGATTACCTCTGCCTCTCTAATCCAGTCAAAGTTGTGCCAGCCTTCTTAAATTGGGCTGTTCATCCTACTCTGCAGTTCTGCAGGGGTCAGAGCCAGGCCCAGCTGCATTTTCTGTTTTGAGGCACCAAGGGAAGACACCCCCTTTCCCAAAATCCCCCATCAGTGTAACACAAGGGGCTGCATGTGCCACCATGCCCTGGAACTGCAGCTGGTTTGGGGTGCAGTGCTTCCCTGCTGTCCCCTGCCTTGCTCAGGAGCTCCAGGTAGTAGATACCAAGGATGGGGGTGGCTGACAGCCCTCTCCCTCCCCATGCAGGCAAGGTCAGCCCTGTGATCCAGTGGGACGAAAGCCGGCTGCAGCAGGGCCCCCCCAGCAAGCCTGTGCGCATTGCCTACATGCTGGTGGTGCATGGCAGGGCCATCCGCCAGCTGAAGCGGCTCATCAAGGCCGTGTACCACCAGCAGCACTTCTTCTACATCCACGTTGACAAGGTGTGTGCAGGGGTGAGGGAGTGGGTGCTAACAGTGCTCCATGGGTCCCTGGCAGAGGGAGCCGAGCTGAGGCGTGGGTGGTGGTGAGTGAGGAAAGTGGCTGGATAGGGTTAGTCCTCACTGCTGTGGAGCTGTGACCCTCTGCCGCTACTTCTGCAACCCCACGGAAGCAGGATCTATTCCCCCCTGCCCTATTTGATGCTTCTCTCCTTGTGGAGGCTGCTGCAAGGGCTGACTCTGGGCTGGTGGCAGGGAGGGTGTGCTCCTTGCTGAGGGTGAGCCGTGTTCCCTGGCAGCGCTCCAACTACCTCCATCGCGAGGCTGTGGAGCTGGCCCGGCACTACCCCAACATCCGAGTGACACCCTGGCGCATGGTGACCATCTGGGGAGGTGCCAGCTTGCTGAAGATGTACCTGCGGAGCATGAAGGACCTGCTGGAACTGTCTGAGTGGCCCTGGGACTTCTTCATCAACCTGAGTGCCACTGATTACCCCACAAGGTGAGTGCCTTACTGGGGCAGGGGAGGGGGCTGAAGGTTTTGGGGCTGTGTGGGGGTGCAGAAGCTTTGGGAGGGGCAGGGAGGAGCAGGGAGCTGAGGGGGTTGGAGATTGCACCCACATGCTGGTGATGGTGCTCTGGGGCCAGGCTGGACCCATGAGCGGAGGAGCAAGTACCTCTGAAGCTGTTTTTTCCTGTGGTCTGGGTTTGTAGGAGAGCATGCATGTGAAGCATGAGACAGCAGAGAGGCTGTGTCTGTGTCTGCCCAGTGGTGGAACAAGGTTTTGAGTCAGCAGCTTTGTGTTCCTTGGGTCTAATGGCTCTTGCAGAATGGGTGTTTACTGGGCTGCTTCACCCCAGCAGCATTAATGATTCCTGATTTCCACCTCAGGACCAATGATGAACTGGTGATGTTCCTGTCCAAATACCGAGATAAGAACTTCCTGAAGTCACATGGCCGAGACAACGCCAGGTAATCTCAGCTAGAGGCAGAGCTGAACTGGAGGAACAGAAAACGAGGGGTTTCAGAAAATAACTGAAACAGCTGTGGCAGGGAGGGGATGTTCTGCATCTGCACTTTGCAAGGTGGTTGACACTCCTAACTCCTCATCCCCATGCCCAGGTTTATCAAGAAGCAGGGCCTGGACCGCTTGTTCCACGAGTGTGACTCCCACATGTGGCGACTGGGCGAGCGTCACATCCCCGAGGGCATCGTGGTGGACGGGGGCTCTGACTGGTTCTCGCTGACACGCAGCTTTGTGGAGTATGTGGTCTATGCTGAGGACCAGCTGGTGTCCCAGCTGCGCCAGTTCTACACCTACACACTCCTGCCAGCTGAGGTGGGTGCTGCCTGTGGGCCACAGGACAGATTTTCTTCCCACACATATCTTTCCCACTTCATGCCTGCTCTGGGTATCTGCAAAGGGTGTTGCTGGTTCTGTTCAGGCAGTTTTGTGCCTCCCCTTTCTCAGTCTCAGGTATGAAAGAGGGAAGAGAGAAGCAGATAGGTCAGGGGTCATGCTTACACACAAGCCAGCTTTAGGTCCAGTCACCCTCTGGGCCAGATGAGGACTGGTGCAAGCCTGGTCCCTCAAATACTGCCCTCTGCTGGGAACGGGGAAATCTGTGTTCAGTAGCAGTTGAGGTCTGCCCTTCTGTATGATTGGGGTTCTCCATTAACCACCTGTCCTCCATCCCACTGGGTGTCCTGCCCCTTTTCTGCCTTGCACAGTCCTTCTTCCACACGGTCCTGGAGAACAGCCACGCCTGTGAGACGCTGGTCGATAACAACCTCCGAGTGACCAACTGGAACCGGAAGCTGGGCTGTAAGTGCCAATATAAACACATAGTCGACTGGTGCGGGTGCTCCCCAAATGACTTCAAACCCCAGGACTTCCTTCGGCTACAGGTGAAAAAGATCCTCCTTTCTCTTCCTGCTTTTTCCTCTCCCTGTTCTCTTCTCTCTGAGCTGTCCTGTGAGCACCCCAGGCTGCAGTGCCGGCTGCTGTGCATGTCCCTGCAAGAGACTGGAGCATGATCAGGTTCCCCAGTGGGGCTCAGTGTAGATGTGTCTGTAAACAGGCAGTAGGATTATCCTGACTGTCCTGCCCTGCAGCCAGGGTTCTGCTTGCAGCGTTGCTCCTATTCCTAGACTTTCTCTCCAGTTTTCCTGCTCTTTCCCTGCAAATGTATCACTTGAGGGAAATGCCTTTATAGTAAAACCCATTCAGAGTGCTGTTTCTTTGGCAGGTCAAAATGCCTTGTGACGAAATGTCTCCCATGCTCTCAGTATGTGGGGATGTGGACTGAACACAGGAGGCTTAGGGGAGATAGAGCCAGCCCTGAAAAGAGCAGTTGTGGCAGGATTTTCCAGCAGTTCCAGGCCTGCAGAGCCCAAGACGCTGTTCCTGCAGGCTGTGCCACTTGGCCAGAGCTAATGCAGGGCTCTGCAGTGGCTCTGGTGGGTGGGGGCTTATCAGAGTAAAGATTGCAGCAAAGGAGCTGGATGACACATGGCTAGTTCTGGGCACAGAAAGGGGAAGGTGGTGGGAGAGATGGGCACCCATCTGCATTCCCAGTAACTGATCCTGTCATAGAGGATCCACATTCAGGCTGGCTGTGCTGTGCTGGTCCTTAGCCTGTGCCTTCCAAGTGGGTAGGATGGATCCTGCTGGAGTGGGAGGGCAGAGTGGGTGCCCCAAACATTGTTAGAAATGCCTGTGCTCTTCCAGCAACTCTCCAGACCCACCTTCTTCGCCCGCAAGTTTGAGTCGACGGTGAATCAGGAGGTGCTGGAGATCCTGGACACGCACCTCTATGGCAGCTACCCCGCCAACACCCCGGCCCTCAAGGCCTACTGGGAAAACGTCTACGACCGTGTGGATGGGCTCAGCGGTCTCACCGATGTCACCCTCACCTTCTATACAGCCTTCTCCAGGCTGGGGCTCCGCAAAGCCTCTTCCACGCCGGCAGCCAAGGCTGACAAGCTCTGCAGGTAGAGGATTTTCTGTGGTCTCAACCCAGGCTCCAAATGGAGGCCTTTATCTTGTGCTAGAAGTAAGCTTATGCTCAGATATGCAACCTCTCTGTCTGTCTCTCCAGATTTGAGCCTCGAGGATTCCCCTCCAGTGTGCACTTATATTTCTATGACGACCGTTTCCAGGGTTACCTGGTGATGCAGGAAGTGCAAAATTTGGCAACTGGGCAGACTGAATCCTTGGAGATGTGGATGATGCCCCAAGGAGCTCTGAAGCTGTCCAGTCATGGAGGGCAGGCAAACCGCTTGCAAAACCTAGAGGTACATGTGGCACTTTTCTCCCTGGCTCTCCTACACTGTGCTGCCATTCCTCCTCTGCCCCACCTGCATGCAGTGGGGACAGAAGGGCACTGAGCTGCTATTGTTTCTGAAAAGAAACCTTTATCTGGGAGTTTGGTTTATTTGTGAGGAGCTGATTGTTGGTGAGTAGGCCTTCAGGGGATCTTTCAGAGGCAGGTGAGATCCAGTGCCTGCAGCTGCAGAAGGCCTTGCACAGCTGAATTAGTGCTGGCACATGATCCGTGGAGTGTCCATTGCTTTGGATGCCAACGTTTATGTGTTCTCTGTTTTGGGGGAGGTGAAACACAGAACCTCAGCAGATAGTGTCTCCTTGCCCAGTGTCCCACTGCTTGTGCTTCCTGTCCCTCCAGGTGGGGACAGAGTGGGACCCCAAGGAAAGACTCTTCCGCAATTTTGGAGGCTTGATGGGGCCTTTTGATGAGCCGGTGGCCATGCAGAAATGGTCACGGGGCCCCAACTTGACGGCCACGGTGGTGTGGATTGACCCCACCTATGTCATTGCTGCCTCCTACGACATCACGGTGGATGCTGAGGCAGAGTTCACCCAGTACAAGCCCCCCCTCAACCATCCCCTGCGCCCTGGCGTCTGGACCATCCGCCTCCTCCAGTTCTGGGAGCCTCTGGGGGAGAACCAGTTCCTGGTGGTGCCTCAGACCTTCAACAGCAAGCAGCCTCTCAGGAAAGGTGAGGATGCTCTGGAGTTTGGGGCTGGATGAGAGGGTGTCCCTGTGGGCAGTCCAAAGTGCTTCCCCCCTGTGTTGGCCCCTGGGCTGCAGCTGATGGCCAGGTTGGAGCCAGTTTTGCACTGGTGCCCCTTGCCCATGTGAATCCTTAGACTGAGCCATCCCCTTGGCAGCTGTGGAGAGCCCGTTGGCCCATGTCAGTGAGATCCTTCCTGCGGCAGCGTCCCTTTCCTTGTGCTGGACGGGAGCTGGGGTTGCAAAGGAATGGGGAGCTGTGCCCCAATGGAGTTGGGGTTAGGACCTGCAGGGTGCCAGAATGTTGCTGCCCTGCTCATCCCCTCTCTTTTCTCTCCCTTTCCTTCCCAGATGACAGCAGCTGGCTGCATGGTGGCCCCCCCCGCAACGAGTACATGGACCAGAACTTCCAGGGCCTGAGCGGGATCCTCAGCCTGCCGCGCTCCGAGGCGGCCGAGGAGGATGCGGCGCAGAAGGCGCGGCTGACGGGCAAGGAGCTGGAGGACTGGGCGGACGCTGCCATCGGCACCTTCTGGTCTGCAGCGAATGTCTGTGTCAGCAGCCCCTCTGCCTGCGCTCCCCTGGAGACCTGCAGCAAAACCTCCTGGAGCTCCCTCTCCCCGGACCCCAAATCAGAACTGGGGCCTGTCAAACCTGACGGGCGGCTGAGGTAGCAGGAGCAGCCAGAGGGCAGCCTTGGGAGCAGGGAGCATCCTCCGTTTCTGATCTGGGGGGTGTCTCTGGACCACATCACCCTGTGCCATTTGCACCGTAGTCACTCAAGGAAGAGAAAATGGGAACATCCAGGCAGGGGAGAACCTTCTCCTGTGGGATATTTTGGGCAATGAGGCATGAGGTGCGTCTTGCCCATCTCTGTGGGAATGAGCCTTTGCTGGCCAGGGAGAGCGTGCTGGAGTGCCCATCCCTGTGGGGGCATGGCAGGCACCTGGGAAAAGCTGTGTGTTTCTCCAGGCCTTGGAGCTTCAGGAAAGGGTGATGTGGGAGGGAGGGAGGGAGGGAGGGATGGCTGGTGAGTGGGCAGGCTCTTGACCAGCTCAGCATCCTGCCCACCCCAGACTAGAACTTGGCAGGATGGGCCCTTGTTGCTGACTGCTGCCCTGGTGGGCTGATGAGGGACTGGGGATTGGCAGAAGCAGAATGAGTCAAAACCTGCCATGTGCACAGAGCTGCTGCTGGCTTAGGGTTTACATCTCATCCTTTCCACCCCAGCCCTTTAGTTTGTATTTTTATAAATATATATATAGAAATATATATGATGCAAAAGTGCAATAGAGACGAGACCCCGCATTGGCCGGGAAGTCCCTGTGTCTCCATTTCCCCTGAGACTGTAACATACCTTGTTCCCTTGGGTGTCCTGGTGCTACAGGACAGGGTGCTGGGTCGTTTACATCCTTTTTTATTATTTTATTATTATTGTTGTTGTTTTGCTGTTTGCCCATTTCCTGCCGAGGGCTGCTGGGGACCTGTAACCTGTTGGCCTTGGGGCAGGGTTGCCCCCAGATTGTGGGGCAGCTGCCCAACTATGCCAAATGTCTGGAGCCCTGGTATGTTGTGCAACAGTGACTGAGGAGTGCTCAGTGTGTGGGTCAGGCCCAACAAGCTGCGCTGTAGACCCTGCCACTTCTGTCTCCACTTCAGCAGAAGGACGCCCTGATCCCCTGCCAAAATAGCATCCACAGGGCCCATGTGCTGCTGCAGATGAGCCGTGCCTGGAGGGCTGCCCTGTGCCACAGCTCCTTGACCCAACATTTTCTTTTCTCCCACATCGGCAGAAGCTTTTGGGACCTGCTGTGCTTCCCTGGGCAAAATGCAAAGCGGCGAGAGGAGGTCTGGCCAGCCCCATCCTCCCTCCGCTGTTTCTGCTTCCCATTGCTCCAGAGGGAAAAGGCGCCACCTCCTCTTGGGAAGGGTTGCAGTGAAGCATCCCCCTTCCCTGCAGTGCCCCCAGGATGTCCTTGGGAACTGCCTCTCACATTCTTCTCTCCAAGACTGATGCTGCCTGGAGAAGTCTTGGTTTGGTTTCATCCTTCGAAGACACTTCACAGCTGGGGACAATTTGGAGCCCATCTGGCCCAACTCTGCTCAAAGCAGGGTCTCAGGAGCTGGTGGGGTTTTTTTGTCTCCATGGATCTGTGCCATCCTAACTTTTCTCCCATGTCCCAGCTCTCTCCGCCCAGCAGGTCTGACACTCCCAGTCTACAATTTTAAGGATGTGGGTGTTTCAAGATGTGTACTGTAAAACGGAGGGGACTGAGACCTCTGTGTGTGAGGGCAGGTACCTGCTGGCACTCAGCCCCCCTGTCCTGCACCCACTTCTGCCTGGGGTGCTTTGCGGCAGTGGAGGAATGTGGGGGGAGAAGGGCCACACACTGGAAGATGCCAAAACTCTGTGTCAGAACCATTATATAAAGTTGTCTTAAATATGCAACATCACCACAAATACATCTCTATCTCTACAGTTTGTTGTGTCGGGTTTTTGTGGTGTTATGGAATGGGTGGGGGAAGTTCGGCCGTGCCCGGTGAGAGTGTAAATCCCCCCTAGGCACCAGGACAGGGGCTGTGACAGTGTTGGGGCAGGGTCGCCTTCCTCAGATGGGTGATGAGTAACCCAAAATCAAGCTTGGGATTTTCAAAACCCCCTGTGGCTGGAGAGTGAGAGCTCGGGAGTGGCCCGGAGCCACGGCTGAGTCCGGTTACACCCTGGCAGCGGCTGCCCTGAGGGTACCAGATCCTTAGCGTGTATATGGCGCTTAATTAAGGTGTTAATCGGCTAATGAGCGGGCAGGTCCTGCTGCCTGCGGGGCCAGGCGCCTCCCGCGGCACAGGCCAGCTTTCCCTCT